CAGCTCGCCCTCACCATGCCCCGCCCCCTGGTGGGAGGGCTGAGTAGTTGTCAATGTCGCAGACGTGACGCATGGAGCCACCGACCAATGAGAAGGGAGAAGGACCAGCCTAGGGCTCGACACCGAGCTAGTCTTCTAGGTTCCTCCACGCGGGAACACCCTGCCTGTAGTCGTCAGTGCTCCCCGGGAGGATTCCACTTCCGCTATTCAACACCGTTACACGGTCCCCTTGTGGAGGTCCACAGAATACAGTTAAAATACGGGAAAGGATCAGGAGGAGGAGGAAGTGTTACCTACTAGGAATCCCTGAGAATCTGGGCCTGGAAAATACCAAATTTTAAGAACTGCATTCACAAATTAAAAAATAGAAATAGCTCCAGGTATTTTGTCCTAAGGCTATATATTCTAGACTATGATCTGGTAGAATCTCAGAGTTCTTGGGCACTGTAAGCGACCGAGCTTACATTGAGAAACCAAAAGGTAAGTGGTTAGAACCCACCCAAAGGTTCATTGGAAGAAAGGATTGATGATCCACTTCAGAAAGATCACAGCCAAGTAAACCCTGTAAAGTGCAGTTCTGTTCTGCAATACACTGGATCAGTATCGGTGGAAATGGACTCCCAAGATAATGAGTTGTGGGTGAAATGGGGAGGGGGAAGAGGAGGAGACTTCCAAAAGTTAATGGGAAATGAAACTGAAGGACAATGGAATTTGTCTGTGAACTTTTTTGGAAGCCTTTTCTTAAATGTAAGAAACTTTGGTCAAACAAAAATCTACAAATGTGAAGCTTTTGTTTCTCAACATATCCTCTCTCTTGGTTTAAACATTACTGAAGGCAGGGTTGCCATCTCTCAAACCCTTCCTTGAAGAATTGTGTGCCCTTTCATTTCTATCATGTCAAAATGGCGGTTTGGGCTATCTGAAGTGGCTCAAATCTTGTACCTCTTGAATGTTCTTTCAGGTTGGGAAACAAAAAGAAATCTAAAGGGGTAAGATCGGGGCTGTCAAGTCGAGATACAGTTTCCCAAAGTTACTCCTGTAAGATAGCCTTTGTTTTTCTTGAAGAATGAGCTAAAATAAATGTTCCTGATAGAAAAAAACTTCCTCAGCCCAACATTCCTACCCTAATTGTTTCTATGTAGCCTTGATTTTATTCTTTGTTCTGGGCAGGAAACAATCAACTGTTACACTTAAGATAACAACTTACAAGCTTTTGAGCTTCCCAGCACAGTTCATAAAAGTCACATGTATAACCTTTTCTTTGTGAACTATTTTTTTCACAATTAAGCTTGCTGTTTTCTAAGACTAGGATCCTGAAAAAAGAACATAGAGTGGACCAACTATGGTTGCTTGTTTGAGGACACACCTGTAACTATTCTTTCTGGTAGCCACACACCAGCTGCTTTTTCACTGCGCTTTGCTACAGCACCCATATCTTTAGTGATCTCTTCTCGTGGATGAATATTGATCAGGCCATGTTATAACAACTAACTGTTCTTAGATCGGGGCTAGAATTAAGTGTGAGCCCCAAATCCACTTATATATTTCTGATTGTATACGTATGTCTCTGGTCCACTTTAGAGGCAACATTATCTTTTATTGTAGACAGATGAGTGACTGCTTCAGTGCTTCATCAGCTTGTTGACACATTTCAGATAGTATTCGATCAATTCCTGAAGCCTTGTTTTTGGCTACTGCTTTCAGTGCAGCTTGAGCTTCTTTCTTCAGTAACATTGGTTCTTGCTCATATGCTTGCTGCTGAGATGGTGGAATGTCAGCTAGTTCAACAAGCTGAAAGCAGAGAATATCAGAAAGATATGAGTTGTTCCTCCTGATAGTGTCTAATTGGAGCCAGAAAACATACAGTGGTGAAATGGAGAAGAGGGAAGAGAAATGGGTAATTGGGGAAAGTGAAGGGATGTAAGCAGAGAGAAAATGAAAGAAAAATGACAGAAGTCTTCTGTATGGTTGAACAAATTTGCAAAAACAATGGGAAAATGTATTTTAAGAGAGGTAATCAGAATCAATAGATTTCATGGAAATACATTTCATGAGGAAAAAGAAAGCATTAAGAGATAATGTGTGGGGCAGGTGGAAAGTATAAGCGAATATTCAGACCAGAGGAGGATTTATGCATACTTATGTTTATAAGAAGAAATATTATTAAAGAAGAAAGAGGAAGAAGATAAAAATAAAGGAAAGACTCAAAAGTGTGGATGTGTAGAGAATAGGAAAGACAAGACAACAGAAACAAAAGGTTTGGGTGTGGGTGCTGGAGTTCTGTTGCTATGGTACCATGAATGTGGACTGGCCTGTATACTCGGAGAAGGGGAAAAAATTAAAAACTTGACTGAGTGATTGCCTGAATCTTTAAGCCTGCCTGTGTTTCCCTGGAGGGAATGCTTATTCTCATGAGGGTCAGGTGCACTGAAGAGGAAATGAGCAAGAACTAGAATAAAATCTTAAAAGCATCATAACCAAAAGTACAAAAAACAAATAAAAATAAAGTAAAAAACCAAAACTGCCTTGTGCCTGTTGACCCATTTTAAAACTGTTTCAGTTTGTTTGTAGTTGTTTTTTAAGTTGTAGTTGTTTTAATACTCATGGATTAAGGCCCTGGTGAATCCCCTCTGACCATAGACCAGGAATGTGAATAACCTTGCTGTCATGTAGAATGCATTGAAAAGCGGATTGTTGCAGATGCAGTTAGATTAAAATTTAGCACCCTATCATTCGATCTCCCTTATGATCCAGTACCTTGCTGGTGTAGTGGTTACGAATTGGGCTGTGTTCCCCATGCTTGGCAGCTGGAGCCAGCAGCTCCACAGGAGAAAGACTGATCTCTCTACTCATGTAAACAGTTACAGTCTCAAAAACCTACGGGGGTTTGGGGGAGGGGGGTATCCCTATGAGTCATCATTGATTCCATGGTAGTGAGTTTGGTGTTTGGTTATTGTGCCATCCAAGTTTGTCCTGGTTTTTTAATATTTTCTACTTTCTTTTCAATTGAGGTTGATATCTATTTTACTATGTGATTCTTATTAGTTTTTCTGTTTTTAAAAATGTTTTTCTGTGTATGAAATCCAGGATAGGTAAATCTATAGATACAGTAACTGGATTAGTGGGCTTTGCGTAGACTAGAGAAGCAAAATTTATGGACACTCATATGTGTATAAGAAAGAGCTTTATGTACAAGAGCAATTGAGTATTGAGAAAACATCCCAGCCAAGTCCAGTTCAATTCCATAAGTTCGATATTAGCACATATGTCTGATATTATTCTATAAAGTCCTTGTCTGACTCATGAAACACATGCCATGATGCCCAGTACAGGAAGACCACGGGCCAATGGGTGGGAAGTCTTGTGAACACAGTGGTGGTGGAAGCATCTCAGTTCTGGCATGGGTCTACATGTGATTCCTCTAGCTCCAGGGCTCTGACTCCATCAGTGTAGCTCCATGTGTCATTAGCTGCAGTGTCTCCCAGGGAGTATGTGTCCTGCCTCCAAGCTATTTATCTCCTTAGCTCCTGGAAATGAGGTCAGCATGCTGCGACCTGATTGACAGGCTAAACTCCACCCCTTCCCTCTTACTCCTCTCAAATTGACAGTTGATTCTATACCACGGGTCTTTGAGGCTATGGCAGAGGAGGTTGGGGAGAAATGGGGAGCTTATAAACAGTACAAAAATGAAAAAGTTCTAAAACAATGGTGATGATTGAACAACTCTTCCTAATGTTACTGAACTATTGAACTGTGTGATATGTGAACTATATGCCAATAAACTCGTTTTTAAAAAGCAACTGCCTTGCGAGTGGGGATCTCTGCTCCTTTGGTTGTTCTTGTGTATATGCATGTGCTGCGTGTGGGAAGAATGGGCCAGGCGCTGAAGAAAAGGGGGCAGAAAAGAGGGAAGGAGAAAAATAATGTCAAAAAGAGTAGCTGGAATATTGATAATGTCTGCACCAAGCTGCTCACATAGTCTGTTATTACAAAGGACCCCCAAAGGCCGCAGAGGTAAGAGGTTTGGCCCGCTGTTGTCTCGGGGGCTGGGAAATACTGGCTGTGCTGAGGAAGAATGACGCTCACAGAAGTGGCTCGTGCTCCTGGTCACTGGTGAACAGAGGTGTTCAGCAGGCGTTATACTGCTCTCTGACTCAGAGAAACTTGAGTCTACTACGCTTTTACATGGATTTTTTCACCACCAGGAAGTGCCGGAGATCCCTCCCAGTGGACCCTCTGTAGTTGCTTAGGAGATCTTCCCATGCTTGTTACCTGCCAGCCATATTCCCCTGTATAGTCAATGCCTGATTCTTTTGTACTGTTTTTCTGTTTCCTTTCTGTATTTATGCTCTAATCCTTATTATTGATTTTCTTCTGATAACTGTAGGCTTATTTTGCTGTTCTTTTTCTACATGTTGGAGGTGTTCAGTTAAAGTGATTGTTTTCACTCTTCAAAGGAACTTTTCTATTTCATTCATTACCTAGTGGTTTTAAACTAAAACTAAACTCACGGCTATTGAGTCAATTCTGACTCCCGGTGACCCTATAGGACAGGATAGAACGGCTCCTGTGGGTTTCTGAGACTGCAATGCTTTATGGGAGTAGAAAGCCTCATCTTTCCCCTCGGAGTGCCTGGTGGTTTCTAATCTCGTGGTTAGAGGTTCAACATGTAACCCACTCCTCCACCAGGGCTCCCTACAAGTTTATAAGCAGGGTGTTATTCAGGTTTTGCCATTGATTTTCTTATGGTTGAATGATCATTTTATGTTTTTATGATCAGAGAAGCTACTTTGTACTA